GGGGGGCCCCCGTGGGGCCCACCAGGGGGGCCCCCGTGGGGCCCCCCAGGGGGGCCCCCGAGAGTACCCCGGGGGGGGCCTCTTGGGGGGCCCCAAAGGGGGCCCCCAAGAGGGCCCCCAAGGGGCCCCCCTGGGGGGCCCCCTTGGGCGTGAAGGAGATGCAAATGGTGATGATAAGGAGAAGGGTTTAGGAGAAGAGAAAGGGGAGAGTGTTAGGGTTTTGTTTGTGGATGCGCGGGAGGCGTTCCATAGAGAAAGGGTACAGAGGATGCCCTGGCTGCAGGTGGTGGGGCCTGCAGGGTGTTTATGGTGAGTTTTGTTTTTTTTTTTATTTTTTTTTTTGGTTTGTTTTGTTTTCTTTTTTGTTGGGTTTGGTGTATTATTTCTTTCTTTTTTATTATTTCACTTTTTTTTTAATTTTTCTTTTTTTCTCTTTCTTGTAGTTTTTCTCCTTCTTTTATTTCTTTTCCTTTTTCTGTTTCACATCATTTTTTCTTTCTTTTCTTTCTTTTTTTTTATTTTTTTTTCTTCTTTTTCTTCTGTATGCTGCAGCAGTGTGCATGCATGTGTGTATGTGTGTATACAGTGAATGGGGGCCAGGAGCCCGAGTTAAAGACGCAGCTATCCTGGCTCACCAAATAGGAAAACGGTAAGCTCAGCCTCTACACGCACCCACACCAGGTGTACGTACACCTGAAACAGCTGCATGTACACCTGAAACAGCTGCATGTACACCTGAAACAGCTGCATGTACACCTGAAACAGCTGCATGTACACCTGAAACAGGTGCATGTACACCTGAAACAGGTGCATGTACACCTGAAACAGCTGCATGTACACCTGAAACAGCTGCATGTACACCTGAAACAGCTGCATGTACACCTGAAAGAAGTGTGTGTACACCTGAAAATCAAGTGTATGTACACCTGGTATTTGGGTGTATAAGGTGTTTATTGGAATTAACGGGTCAATAAATTCTTTGTGTTGCTCTCGCCTCATGCTGATGATATGCATTTAATTTTTTTTATATTTTGCTGCATGTATCAGCAGCAGAGTTGCATCGTTTGTGTATTTCATTTTATTTTATTTTATTTTATTTTATTTTATTTTATTTTATTTTATTTTATTTTATTTTGTTTTTTTTTGTTTTTTTTTGTTTTTGGTTGCCGCACAGATTCGCTGACTTCCCTCGGGTATCTGCTGAGCTTCCCTCGGATTATACTGCTCGCCTCAACGGCGGGTGGGCATTGCGGGGTTCTGCTGCTGCTGCTGCTGCTCCTGCTGCTGCTGCTGCTGCTGCGGCTGCTGATGCAGGTGCTGCTGCTGCTGCTGCAGCTGCAAACTCCAAACACTAAAGTACCGCCTTCACCAGCTTTGCTCGGATTTGTGCATGCAACCAACATAACTCCTCCTTGATGCTACTGCTGCTGCTGCTGCTGCTGCAGCTGTACTGGCAGCAGCAAGGAGGAGGAAAACAGCAGCAGCAGCTGCAGCAGCAGCAGCTGCAGCAGCAGCAGCAGCTGATGTAGCAGCAGCAGTGTGTCTGAACTTTAACTGTTTTTGGTTAAGAGGGAAATGGAAAGAGTAAACAAAACGACAAAAAAAAAAAATAGAAAAAGGCAAATCCAGAGGAGAGAATAAAAACAGAAGTTTCGTTTGTTTTTTATTTTATACAAAAAAAAGTTTAATGCAATAAAAAAAGAAAGTTCTGCCTTTTCAGAGCACTGGAGTGTTAGGGTTTAGCTAGCTGAGCTGTATATACACCGCAGGTTTGTGTATGTATACACCACACAACCAACAGATGCCAGCAACTACAATTCTATTCATATCAAGACAACCGAAATATAGATGCAACTTCATGTGAAGATAAACAAAAACAGAAAACATCAACGCA